CAGAGCAAGCCATGCTCTCTCACGACGGCCACTAAGAGGCCCACTTGGCAGGGCCAGTCCTCCTCAGACAGAAACCCAGTGTTCATTCCAACACAGGCAGATGGGCCATAATACAAATTACAGGTAATTGTTCTAAAATCAACTAGCAAGGTATTATCAAGGAATGCTACATTTAAATGATAGAGCAAAACTTAAAGACAAACATTTTATAACTTTGCCCCTAATCCTCACTTGTTATTACTTGCAACTTAAACAGCCTTGATTTTATTTCCAGATGTGTAGACACTTAGTTTTTTTTGTTATTGTTAATCCTCACCCGAGGATATTTTTTCCACATTGGTTTTTAGAGAGAGTGGAAGGGAAGGAGAGAGGGAGAGAGAGAGAGAGGGAGAGAGGGAGAGAGGGAGAGAGGAGAGAGGAGAGAGAGAGAGAGAGAGAGAGAGAGAGAGAGAGAGAGAGAGAGAGAGAGAAACATCAGTGTGAGAGAGACACATGGATTGGTTGCCTCCCTCATACGCCCGACCAGGACTGGGGATTGACCCTGCAACCCAGTACATGCCCTTGACTGGAATCAAACCTGGGATCCATCAGTCTGTGGGCCAGCACTCTAACCTCAAAGCCACACCTGCCAGAGCTAGACTCTCTAATTCACCCGAATATATGTTGGCTAGAGAGCCCTCTAGAGCTAGCCAAGGCTTCGGGACCTGTCTACCTTGTGTGGTATTAAAAGTTTTTTTTCACTTCTTATAGTCACAGTTTCCCCTCCGCTGTGCCCGGGGTAGTGTGATTTGCCATCCAAAGTGGTTTGGTCCAATTCAAGGGCCCCTTGTGTGCCCTTCCGGCCTGCGGGTTGACCGGGAAGGTGAGCTGCTGCTCCCCAAGCCTCCTGCCGAACCTCATCACCAGGCAGAAGCACACCCGCCACGGACAATGTGAAACCGTATCACTATCATTTCCCGGTGAAAGGAGTCATTTCTCCTCCACTAAAACAAATCCGGAGAAAAGAGGTTTCCCTCCAGAAGTCATCTCCAGCCACTAGGCATGTTCCTCCAGCCTCTGAAATTGTCTTCACTATTGTGAACTGCTTTGACAAGAATTTCTTGGAACAACTTCCTTTCCAAACCAGCATCTCTACTGGACGAAGTATTTTTAAAGATATAATTCAAATAGAAAACATCTGTTTTTGAAAGATAACTGTAAAGTACTTCTACCACATTCTCAGAGATAGTTATTAGAGTATCTGTTCCTGGCTACAGAATTCCAGTGTTAAAAAGTCATCTTTCTCCATTCTCTCCACACCCTACCTTCATTGCGATCAGCCCCTGGAGAAAGGGAGATTTAGAGAGGCAAAAGGGGACATGTATTGAGGTTCTATTGAACATAGTCAACAAGAATTAGTATTTTTCCAGTGTCATGCAGTAGGTTGATATTTCGAACTCCACCATTTTGGAATATAATTTTAGTGGTTAATATGTGAGGAAATTAGGAATCTTTATTTCTTGTTCTTTTTATGAGAGAGAGAGAGAGAGAGAGAGAGAGAGAGAGAGAGGGAGAGATCATTCTAGAAGTACCTTGGCAATGTAACTGATGTCCCATGGTCTCTCTCTTTTTTTAATGCACACTTCTATGCTCTTTACAAATTAAGGTATTTTAGTGGAGAAACAAAGCAGGAGTTAATTAGAAAGATCTTCATCTTCAGACTCCCCTCCTTGAAATTTCATATGCTTTCATTCAGTCATTCGTTCCTTTATCTTTACACTCAGTTACTTAACATATTTATTGAGCATCTATGTGTAAGGCAGTGTATTTAGTGATTGGACAAAAATCAAGAACAAAGGACAGGATCTCTTTCTTCCTGAACTTTAAAGTCTAGTCTGGAAAATAGACATTCAATAAACTAATTTAAAAATAGCTATAATAGAACTGTACAACACGAAGAATGAGCCCTAGTGTAAACTCTGGGCTTTAGTTAATGATAATGTATCAAATATGGTACATCGATAGTAACAAATGCCCCACAGGAATGCAAGACGTTAATAATAAAGGAAACTGCCTTCACCGGTTTGGATCAGTGGATAGAGTGCCAGCCTGTGGACTGAAGGGTCCCAGGTTCGATTACGGTCAAGGGCACATGCCTGGGCTGTGGGCTCGATCACCAGTAGGGAATGTGCAGGAGGCAGCTGATCAATGATTCTCTCTCATCATCGATGTTTCAATCTCTCTCTCCCTTCCTCTCAACTCAATAAAAATATATTAAAAAATAATAATAAAGGAAACTGTGTTAATGTTGGCATATGGGAACTCTGTGCCTTCTATGTAAATTTTTTCTAAGTACTCTAAAAAATAAGGTCTCTTAATAAAAAATAAAATACTGTAAATAGCTATAAAAGATAAGCACTTTATAGGAAGTAAACAGGATGCTAGTAAGAAGAATAGTGGGGTGACATAATTTGGATTGGGGAATGGGGAAGGACCTTTCTGGAGGGGAGTTGTTTAAGACCAGAACTAGAGAATAAGGAGGGCCTGGCCAGGCAAAGAAGAGAAGGAAACGTTGCCAGTAGAGCAAAGTGATCTTTTGAACTCCCTTTGTAAATGTCATTCATGTTTCTCTGTGGAGGATGCATTGTGGGAGTGGGTGGGAGTGGGGAGGCAAGAGTACAAAGGAAACAAATTAGGAGGCAATTAGAATGGACCACCACTTTCCCTATCCACGCAAGGTGTTAGGAGAGCAGAGTGGCAGTAGGGTTTCCTTGGCTCAGCTTATGCCCTGAAACCTTCAATTGCCGGGTATTAGGAAGAAAGGAGACTATCAGTGGCAGCAAGATGGGGTTCCTAGGTCTTAGTTCCTAAGGTCTTTCCAGTGGCTCAATGGAATTTATAGCGTGAGGAACGATTGTGTGTGTGTGTGTGTGTGTGTGTGTGTGTGTGTGTGTGTGTGTGAGAGAGAGAGAGAGAGAGAGAGAGAGAGAGAGAGAGAGAGAGAGAGAGAGAGATTGATTGAGAGTACAACCAGATGAGAATTACAAGGGGGAAAAAGCTTTCAAGTATTAACTCCCCAGGTGTAACAACAGATTTTCATAGAAGGCTGTGCAAGATATAATTTGCAATAGTTATCTTTATTTCTGCTACTGGATTGTTGGAAGTTATTTTGGTTTTGTTTCTTCAAAGACTAATTGTTTTCATATTGTTGATAAATCAACAAAGAGGACAATTAAGAAAGGTCCATGTAGGCGGGGCACTGCTTTAGTCCATCAGTAGTGAACGGTTCTCAGGGATGGTGAATTCCCAAGGAAAACAACTCCAGGGTACATGTCAGCCTGTAATAGATTTCTATTGGTTCTGGAACTGTTATTAGTAGCATGAAGCTTAAATAGTTAAATATTTTATTTCCGTGTAAAATTAAGTAGTTCTGTAATTACATAATCTACTTCATCATTTGTCAGCTTTACCTGCCTATTGAAATGTGTACTTGAGAGTTGCAGGACATTAACTATTTTTATGCATTTCTTTTTACAGTAGGACATTTGAATGTGATGTTTATACATTATATACAAGAACATTTGATATCTGAAAAAGTCTTTAGCAAATCAGCATGCATTTTATAGCACTTAGCTAATACGGATACAAAATGGTCACTATAAATCTTATCGTTTTTGTTTTCTGTATTCCTGGAAACACAAACACTAAGTCAAGAATTCCCCATTTGACCAGACCTGTTGTTTATTTTAGGAAATAGAAGTGAGCCATCAACGTAATTTTAAGTCCTTCAATTGTGAATATGGGATGAAGCGGTAACATAAAGTTTTCCACTGTGATGTCTCCATTAAGAAGCTCCTCTTTGTGTAAAAGAGTCCATGACAAAGTTCCTTCTATTTAAAGTAGTGAGTTTGATCTTGGCTTTGATCTAAAGCTTTTGATCTTGAAAGAAGGATGGAGCAGCAATAAAGAGAGGGCAAGGCAGATTTTCTTTAAAGAAATGCGATAAAGTTAAAGTGCTGGTCAGGCTCAGCGAACGCGTGCCCCAGCCTGGCTCAGCCCATTTCGGATGCGGATGTGAAGAAAGCCTTTCTGGGGTCGGCGGGAAAAACTTGGGACATCACACATTTTTATGAACGAAATGCAAACCTTTCCTCTAATTATGGAGACAGACTGTCCACCTTTTAAATTCTCCCGAGTTGCTTAGAAGGCTCATGGGCAGTGCGCGTGCCGTGCGGGCTACCTGCTCAGGGCGCACTGGCTGCCGCGACGCGGGGAGAGCACGGGCTGCTCTTCTGCTACCAGAGAGATCACCTGCGCCGCCGCGAGTCCCGAGGAGCCCCTGGAAAACGCCTACTTAATGGCGGATAAATGCGTTCCCGGAGGAAAAAAACTCCCTTAGCAAAGTTCCTTTCCCCGGCGAAGGCCATCTGGACACAGGTTTCTGACCAGGGGAGCGAGTTCAGACTGGCCGCAGGGGTGCGGGCGCTTCTGCTCGCGCGCGGGCAGCACCTCTGCTCTCCAGGCGGCCGACAAACCCTTATTTGGGGAGAGCAGTGCCCGCGCGGTGGGGCCCGGAGCGGTAGGGCGTGCGCACCCGAGCGGTCTGCGCGCAAGAAGGCGCGGCGCGCGGGCGCCGGCCAGACCCGGGACGCACGGCGTTCGCCGAGAACAATAAAACCGCCGGCGCGCCGCGGGGGCGGGGGCGACCTGCGGGAGCGGGAGCGGGAGCGGGAGCGGCGCCTATACCTTTAAGGCAGGCCCCGCCCCGCCCAGTGCCCGCCTGCCGCCCGCGCCGCCGCTCCGGCCCCGCGCCGCTCGCGGCCGCTCTGCGCCTTAGGTGTTGCGGGCCCCGCGCGCCCGGTTCTCTCAGCCGGCCCGGCCGGGCGCGGGCTCCGACGCCCCCGCTCCCACGCTCACCGACGGCGGGCGAGGTCGGGGGTCAGCGCCCAGGTGGTGGAGGCGCGGGAGGGAGGAGGCCGGGGCGACTCCCGGGTAAACTTGACCGTCCCCTTCCCCCGCAGCCTCTGCAGACGGAGCGCCAGGCCGGGGCGGAGTGCGGGCTCGCGCGGCAAGTGGGCGCAGAGGTGAGTGCGGGCGGCGCGGTCCCTGCACCCCTCCCTCTCTCCCTCCAGGGTCGGCGGGTCCCGCGCCGCAGGACCTCCGCGGAGCCCCCGGCGGGCGGGCGCCGGCACGGGGGCGGCCACCCGGGCCCGAGACGGGAGGGAGCGTGGAGGAAGCGGCCGGGCGAAGGTCACGGCCTCGTCGCGCCGCACCCCCGCGCCCCGAGGCCCGCCGCGCCCGCCGGGGGCTTCCCCAGGTGCGCCGGGCGGGTGCGCGGCGAGCCGGGGGCATTTCACGCGGGGACGGGCGGCGCTCGGGACCGGGGTCCCGTGTCCAATGCTCTGTGGTTTTTGCACTTCAGGTCGCGAAATGGAAGCGAGTGAACCGGAGACCCCGAAAACGGAAGCGAAGAGGGACCGAAGAAGCGTTTGAAAAGGTAGGGGTCCCCCAAAGAGGGCACTTGTGGGGCTCTCGATAAATGTCCCTGTCTGCCCTGAGGACTTGGCACAACAATAGAACATTTTTTTCAAGTTAAATTTACGGTAGCCTGGATTTACAGAGAGAGTTCTGTAAAAATATTGGCTGGCCATCCTAATGGTGATCAACATAACTATGTTCTCGTGCAGTGAGGGCTGCCGGGATGGAGTTTTGATTCAGCATCAGCAAGTAGAGCACGTGGGACATAAGTGGGTTCTGGTACCCTATGGACCAGGAGCACTTTTTATGGCAGTGTTCGGGTACCCCTAAAAAGGGGGATCTTCCGAGTAAATCACCCACAGCGTCGGGTTTCTTTCTTTGGTGGTGACAGATACAGTCGCAGGCTCCCTCGTGTAGGTATTGGAGTAATCTCAGATATGGAAAGAGAAGCTGGGAAAAAAGGGGATTACTCTTGTAACGCAAACAAGACATTTTTCTGAATTTAGAATTTAATGTTACTTTGCAGAAGTTTGACTCCCTTTTTTTCCTAAAATTGCATTAAGTTAAAGCGTGACATGTTATTGTAATAAATATTGTGAAATAAGGTAAGTAGTCTGTTGTTCTCTAAGTGACTTTTATTGAAAACTCTCAAAAAAAAGAATAATGTTACAGCAGACAGGACTTCTGTTGCTTTTTAAAATTATTCCATGTACTGCTTTTTGATTCTTGATAACACCAAGGGATTAAAATAGCGGTGTGTTGTTTTTCTGCTGCTAGAATGTATGATGAATCACTCCTGATTCTGAAGCCAAATTCTTGCTGATAGCATTGCTGCCAACTTCTGTGATGTGTTGCCTTAGTATGGGCATCGCAGCGTCCGAGAATGTGCACAAAGCACATCAGAATGAAGGTGATACCGAAGTTCCAGAGTGCGGTTAAGGATACCGAGGGCGGCTTCTCAGAGGAGTGGAAAAGGAGTAGAGTCATCTGTAGCTAGACATTCAGTATGTGAAAAGTGATGCCCCAGCTTTCCCCTTTCTACGTAAAAAAGGGTCATACATGTCACTTCATTTCAACAGTAATAGCAAAAGTTGTCATTTTGAACAGACTTGAGTTTTCGGATCCTATTCTCAGCATGTTGTGGTAGGTTGTGTTTGTTTAACTTTCATGGCCTAGATGTTTTTTAAAAATGTGAGTTGATGAAGGAGATCATAAAATGTCCACAGGAGGAAAAAGAATTATGGCTTACTTAGTATTGTGAAAAAATATTTTCTAGTTACTATTTTTTAAACCAAAGATAAGATTGCCCAAATGCATAAGGTATCATGCATAAAGAAGGGGAAGGAAGCCGTTACCTTTGTAGGTTACTAAGGAACCGTCACTACCAAAATCTGAACTTGAGGTAACCATGTCTGTGACACCCATGACCTGAGAATGAGCCAGGGCCGTGGGGGGGGAGACTGAGGAATTTTCCGCCCAAGAACATAGTTCTTCCCTGAGCCTTCTCCTTGAGAGAAGATGTTGTGCACACATGTGCCTTTTCTTCTTAGAAAACGTGGGTAGCTCTCTTACAGAGGATATGAACGTGAAGCAGATTGGGGGCAACATGCCGAACTGCCTTTCAAGGAATAAAGCTTAAAGCTCACTGGCGTTGAAGGTAGAGGTGGAAGAAAGAGGGGATCTTTCAAAGTTGTGTCAGGAAATAATTGTTTAGGTTCTCCAGTCTCTCCTCCTGACTCTGTACAGCAGCTGAGCGCCTTGCCCACAGTTTGCCTCTGCCATGCCCAGGAGAAGGTTTGCAACTTGCTGAGGCAAAAAGCACGCAGTATTTTCAAGGGCAAGGTGAAAGGCAGTGCAATCAGCAACCAAGGGCCTCAGACCAAGTTCCAAAAGGCACCGAGGCGGTCCTGCCGGGGTGTCCCCCGATGGCCCCAGTGTCCATTCCAAAATGCAGATGGAATTCTGTGTGCAATGAGTATTCAAACCCAGGTCATGTGGCACTCTCTTGCTAGGATTTGAACCTGTTATTAGTGGGAATCTAGGTAAAATTACTGTTGAGTTTAGTAAGTATTTTCAAATGTCTGCCATGCCACAAGTGAAGGAGATTAGTCAGTTTCTCCTTTTTCATGCATCCACTGTATTTTTGCTACTACATGAAAACTGTGATCTTTTCGGCGGTATTCACTGTATGTTACTGTAAGAGAAGCCTGGGTTTGAGTCATTTCGGGTAGGTGTGCATTTTAGGTCTAGCTGTTTTCTTGACTTGCCTGCTTTGTTTCCGTGCCCTGTGTCTACCCGGTGCCCTTTCCTCCATCCCCTAGCCCAGGGGTGGGCAAACTTTTTGACTCGAGGGCCACAATGGGTTCTTAAACTGGACCGGAGGCCGGAACAAAAGCATGGATGGAGTGTTTGTGTGAACTAATATAAATTCAAAGTAAGCATCATTACATAAAAGGGTACGGTCTTTTTTTTTTTTTAGTTTTATTCATTTCAAACGGGCCGGATTCGGCCCACGGGCCGTAGTTTGCCCACGGCTGCCCTAGTCTCTGCATCTTCAGGTCTCACACAGGATTCAGCTCAGCTGAGTGAACTCGGTTAACCAGTCTGCGTTCAGCTCCGCTGGGGTCACAGCAGTTTCCCTCCGATGTTTACTGCTCTGTGGGAAGCAGTCCTCTGACCTGCGTGAGGAAGGAGAACAGCAGTGGTGCAAGGCCGGGGTCTGGAACTGGCACGGGCGGCCAATTATGTGTGAGGAATGTAATCTTACAGGAGGTACTGGTATTCCCCTTAAAGAAAGGGAAGGCACAGCCTGATGTAACTTGAAATACTCTACTAGTTGAGTTTCTCGGTGAACTCAGAAGGGGAAGCAAAATAAACTTACCCTGTGCTCAGCTGTGGGTTAAAATAACGCATCATGAAATAAAGTAAACTGGGTGAATGAGAGGTGTCCCCCAGAGAAGTGATTTGAAATGCTCTCTGGACTTTCCTGGTCTGTTCCCCTGTGTGTGCCATTGCCACCCTCCCCCACGCCCCGTAGCTCTCCAGTCCCTGTGCTGCCCCGCAGATTTTCCTATCTTTCTGAAGATACATCAGTCCTTTACCCATCTCCTATCTTCTTTGACATTTATTTCCATTTTATTTCATCATAGGTTAGTGCTTTCCATGGGTATAACTGAATTCCTTTATACTGTTTTTTGTTTTTCTTTATTTTAAATGACAGGAGTCCTCTGTTTCGCTTCTGTCCTTGGGTACTTTCTCCTTCCATTCTGATAATCTTCTTTTTCCATTACTTTGAGTTCCTTTTATTTAGTTTGAACAGTTTGTGTAACAGAAAGGCAAGGGGCACATGAGCAACTGCATAAGGAACAATTGGGATGAATGGGTGGGTCAGCCTGTTGTGCGAGGGCCGGGCGGCGAGACGGTGGGGGCTGCAGCAGGGCGTCCAGAGCGTGTGCTTTTAAACGGTGTTGATAGATTTTACTGAATGGCTATCGGTTTTGGAAGAAGAACCCACATGTTTTTTTTCTGATGTATCTTTAACTGAGTCAAAGACAATACAAATGACCCATCAAAGATTAAGGAATAATATTATGTTCTTTTAATAAATATATACATGTAAAATGACACAGTTTTGAATAATGCTTTGGTAAAGAATGCTAGGTGCAAGTGGTTTCCAGGGAGAGCACCCTTTAAGGTCACCTTAATTATTCTTTTCTGCCAGAATCTCTTGAGCAGAAAATTGCTTAAAATTTGGTGAAATTTTCCTTGGTATATCAAGTGAAACATAAACATCTAGAAAGAGGATTGTGCAAAAGTGGACTTTATAGTATTTAGTGGCCATTTCAGTTGGAGCCCAATGATAAATTCTATTTTCTGAGTCCTTGAGAGGGAAAAAAAAGCCAGACTAGTTTCTTTGTGGTAATAGCCTTCCTAAATTCTGGAGCTTTGTCACTCAACTTTTATTTCGTTTGTTCTTTTCACACTTGATTCTGAACTGCAATCAGTGATCATCTTAGTCTGAGTAATATTAATTCATAGAAGATTTTAAAAATTACATTTAAAACCCAACTTGGTTTATGCTCTTTTACCACATTTATTGCTTCTAAAAACTTTTTATACATTCTAAGAGAATGCTTTTATTACAATTCTAATATTCAGATACTTAATATGATAAAGGTAGGTGCAAATTTTTTTAACTGAGTGCTTTACTACTGTTTGTCTTTTGTGGCAAAGGTGTGTTCTATGTTTGGTTGATGATTTCTGGAAAACAATATTTGAGACTAATACAAGTTATCGGGCTTTTTCTTGAATCCGTAATAGCAGACGGCGACCGTGTTAGGCTTGACTCCCAAGTCGACAGGCTGCAAAGCTTGGCACAGTGGCACAGATGACTTTGGGGAGGGCTGAACCAAGGGTCCCTTCACCTCAAAGGAACTACCATGGTTAGCAGAGTGGCGGGCCTGGACAGCCTCTCTCCCAGCTCAGGCAGCCTTTCCCGGGCGTTGGTGCCCTTGCCTCTTTTCAGCAGTGCTCTTGCCTGTGAGAAGTCATAACCAGCGCACATTTATATAGCTGCGATATCTCACAATAGCTTCATTGATACTTGATCTCCATAGAAGCGCTTTATGGATGCTGCTGAGTCACAGCCGCCCTCCCCGGAGCCCTCCCTGTCTGAGAGTGGCTTTGTGTCCTGCGTTGTACTGATTGTGCCTTTGGATGACAACTTACTTGAGTGATGGGGGAGCCAGAGTAATTTATTAAAAGTAATTGCAAAGAAACCAAACAAAAGGAGTAATTATAGTGTTGTTAATATGCAATTTGTTATTTTATTGAAATATTTGGAACTGGATCCTGTGAGTGATTCTCCTTTTTTTCCTTGTAAATCCCTAACAGATACATAATTTATTAAACTCCGTACTGAGGTCTCAAGTTGGATCTGGTTTCACAAGATCCTGACTTTTTTTTTTTTTTCTCCACCCTTTTTTTTTAACGCAGGACCAAGGGAGAATTGCTGATAAA